ATGGGTTATCTACCTTCCAGGCTACTTCATCCCAATGCAACACAAGACTTGAACATCAGGACAAATTTTACAGTGGTCCTATATATACACAGTCAGATCTAATTACTTCACAGCTGTTTACCACTCCTGTAATGGCGGCGCACGGTTGTCAGGTTTGATATCCTGGATATATGACGTTATGTGATGCTATGTATAGAGAGGTTCGTTGTGCCTGTATACTACAGTACAACAGTATAAATTGACTTTATGTCCATAATAAGATGCATTTACTGTAGTTTTGGCTATTAGTTCCTTTCTTGATCTATCTGCGTTAGCTGAAATATGAACTGTGTTAAATTCCCTTAAGCTAGGGTTGTTTTTTTTCCTTTGAATGGAAACTCCAAATGTTTTTATTTTGTTCATGAGGTACAAAAACAGCCAATGAATACAGTTTTTGGGGGCCGCTTGATCTCTCATTACTTTGACTCAATTTGCCAATCTTACTTTTTAGCCGTTTTTTTTAATCATTCTTAAGTGGCAAGAAATCCCTTTGATATATTAAAATAAAGATTTTAAAATTTTTTTTTTCTTCAGAAAACTATCTATAAAGCTGTAGAGAATGACAGCCGTATCATCCGTATATGGATATCCTTCCTGTTTGATGGCATTTTGTTTCAAAAACGTGCTTTTTCTAATTATATGATTTTAAATCAATATGATTTTATTTGTTTCGTACTTTCAGATTTTCCCTTTAGGGTTTGGCTTCTAAGTCATATATTCTTCACTGTTTAAATGGCCAGATAAGCCAATGGCTCATGAGGAGTTGTGACCAATCCTACACTATGAATAAACTGTAGTTAAAAAATGCTATTTAGTTTGAACTGAAATTTCACAAACAAGGTTTAAACTTCAAAATATATAAATTTATCTTTTTCTCAAAAAAAAAAAAACATAGCAAATGATTTAACAACTAAATATCACAACACCCTACAGTTATAAACTATCATGTACAACATTTATTTCTTTATCTTAATAAGAAATAATCATAGATATCAGATGAAGACATCCAGATGTATAATCTCAGTCCTGTCTTAGTTACACAAATATTACAAGTGGATATTATCTGGGTAACTAGTTAGTGTTTTCTGTCCTGCTAACTGGCAGTGCACAGTAACAGATGGGTGAAAAGCAGTATTAAGCTACTACAGACCCCAAACCCTAGCACTTGCTATGAATCCTGTTCAAAGCAATTTGAACCCACTTAAATGTAGATCAGTAACAGCTTCATAGCTTGGCTAAATCACTGTTGCTATGGATGCATCCCTGCTCTAGAACCGACATTAAATGCTTTTGCATGTTGTGCCCAGTTGCAAACAACACCCCAAAAAACACCATAAATTGTCTTAAGGAAGCTCTTAAAGTTTCCCTGCAGATTTAAGCCGCCACAGTTGCTCCATGTAATCCCAAAATGGCTCCAGAGACAGCAATAAGCCGCAACCTCTGTAGGGCCCACGCCAGCTGTCACAGGACTCCTTATTCTTCATGAGTCGGATTGTATGTTCGCGCTGCAGAATGAGTTTGGAACTGTTCAGATGACTGATGTCTATGCATGAGGGATAAGGATTGAAACCTCTAAGGAGGAACATTAGACCTATGGATAATGGCTTTTAATCTGTAGAGGGTTCTGCTGGAAAAAGTTCATTCATTTAAGTTGTTTAAATTAGTTTAAATTAAAGCAGCAGTATATTTGAATGAAGGTGTTTGTTGGAAGTGTGTCGTGTGTGTGGCGGTGGGTTATTGCTGACCGGTGCGGCAGTTAGGTAGTGCGATCTATGCCAGCTGGCTCAAACGCATTGTGTTCAAGTTTGACATATGACACTGCAAAAAAACAACAACTTGACAACCGCTGTTACCATTAACTTTGGCTCTAAATGAGGGTGGACGTTTATTGCTCAGCGTTTGTCAGCTCTTTGAAGTATGGAAATTCACATACAGGTGCAAGGACGTTTCATTGAGCGAAGCCTCTTATGAGTGCAGTTGTGCAACAGGGTGTACAGCGCCGTGTAGTAAATCAGTGCAAGCCGCTCTCCAGCTTTTCTAACAAGCTAATGAAAAATTTGACCTAATCAGTAGCGGTAATGACACTTTGTAGGATGAGTCATGACAAATCAATAGAGGGGAAAGTACTGTTGGATAGTATTAAGAGGGTTCTGTTTTCATAAGGAGTCTTTTTACTCTGCTGTTTAACATTACAAAAAGCTGGTTATATAAAACTTATATAAGTATGCCACCCTTTGTAATTATCCCTTCTTTTTCTTGGTACACATCTATAAAACTAAAATTCAGTAAATGCCTGAGGAAAATTAATCTCTCAAGACATTTTCTGATCACCTTGATTGAAGAAGTCAATATGCTGCCCTTTCCCACCAAAGCAAACCTTAAGATGGTACTAGTTTCTTTATTTTGGCTACATATGGGTCAACTATTTTGTTGATAGGAAAAATATTCAAGTGAAAAACCCTAGTTGATCACTGTGATGTGAAAACCAACTACTGGCACAGTGTTGGTATTGGTATAGTTGGTTCTTATTCCTGAGAAGAGATCATTCGGGACAAACTCTCTAAATAACACTTCATAACTTACATGTATTAAATAACTAGGAGGCATTAGAAAAAAAGATTCTGACAGAAATTGTAATCTTACTCAGATCAGAGAAGTTGCTTAGAATTTACAGAAGGCAGCTGCTCACCTCCGGGCTCACCTCTCAGGGAGTTTAAGAGGCATTTTATACATCTCCAGTCTGCCACACCATCATATTTTACATCATACACATTAGCAGATAAGTAGACATCCATTGCTCCAGCCTTATAAAAATATTACACTTTGTTCTTAGCTAAAGGACACTGTTCTCATTCCATTCCCAAATCTTTGCCACGTACAGAATTAAGATTATAACTGTATATCCGGACAGAGGACCAATTTTAATGACATAAATTATTGTGGAAAACATCAGTTCTCACATGCAACAGGCAGCTAATATTAAGGTGTAATAAATTCACACATCATCAATGATAATGATCCTAACAGTAATATAGTGCTTTAGGCACGCTTTCTGTAGACCTTTTCTTTAAATACTGAAAATACAAATAAATTGAATTAACTTAATCTCAACAATTGAACATGATTTATTTTCTAAGTTACTACAAATAATACGGTTTTGTATAAACAATTTTTTACATGTAAAGATTGAATCCAAAAATCTGAAATTTTAGCAATCCATTCAATCACATGACAAAAACCAACCTACCAACTCAGGTTTGGGTAAGTTTAAGCTCTGCCCACTGAAATTAGCCACTCAAAAAATTCAAAACTTGTTTTTCTTTTGTTCATTTATAACAGATTTTGGGTAATACATTGATTCATGGTCATTTGGGAAACCAATTTGTGACTTCACTCACCAGCGTCTTGAGATCTTACTTTACTATATGCGCAAAATTATCCTTTGTAGTGCTATCATCCTCCATATGGCGTCAGCACCTCCTTATATTGCATGATGTTCTCAGCACACCAGCTCATTTCTCATCCTGTTTTGCTGATTTCTTTTGATTTTGCTACATTATACATGCATGGAAGTATTGTATTTTGAGCCCTTGCCTTAAAGATTATAAAGAAATCAGGAACTCCACATGTGCTTCTAGTTATTCCAAATGTTGAGAATCTATCGAGCTGATGTAGACCTATCAGAAGTTTTCCAAGTTTATCGTTATCTCGCTTTTATCTCCTCTTTCTTTCATCTTTTCTACTGTTTTTTTGTTTTTATCTTTCCTGTTCTACTTACATTGCAGTGTCCATATAATTTGTAAAACTCCCTGCATAATTAAAGTAAAGCAATTTATATGGATAACTCAAGCGGAACACTATGGCGATAGCCGTACTGCTCCACTTGAGAAAGTAAAATCTGTTGGGCTCTTTTTGGCATCAAGACAATTATTCTTATTGCCACATTGCCAGACAGGACACCGTAAAAAAATAAAATAAAATAATAATGACAACAATAATAATAATGAATTAATAAATCACCTCATCTTTTTAAAGATCCCCAAAAAAATAAAAAATTTTTTCAAGTCCTGGCATCTTGTTCTGGGTTTCACAGATAACTTATAGTGATAAATTTCAACTGGAATGTCTCTGAAAGTTAGAATTAGTAATTGTTAAAGTTTTTACTTTGACTTTTTTTTATCTGTTCTTTATTCATGACATGTTGCAATAAATCAGATGTTCACAAGGACTGCTTCTTTTTATCAGATTATATTTTTAAGTACAAAGTGTATTCAACGAATACTACATGGATCTGTTGTTGCCATTGTTATGGTTGTAACAGTGACCGTAGTGGTGATCGAGAATGTGAGCATCTGTAGAGTAAGAGACTAGAATGTTGTTAACTCAGAGATTATTTGATTCAAACCTCTCAAATTTTTGTTTTGGGGGTAATGGAATGCACCATTTCTTATTTTAAGACTGTTCACATCGCAGTTATAGAAAATTCTATTAATCCCAACGGGAAAAGGAAAAGTTTTAGTTGGATTTTGCATCAGATGGTGAAAAAAAAAACGATTTTCTGTCTGTTTCTGATGTAATTGTCTTTCCATGAAATCCAGATGGGCTATATACTGTGTTAACTAGTTTTACAGTGAGCTGGCATTAACATAAGAGCATGTTTGTGTTTTTTTTTTGTTTTTTTTGCCTAATTAATTTTGCAATAAAAAAAAAAAACATTTCAATCAGGGTTATCCAAATGCAGCACTATTCATTGCCCACAACAAATTTGAAGATAAAGAAAATAAATATTTATTTTTCTCTTCAGAATATATACACATAGATAGTTACACACAGCTGGATAGACTCACACACTAAATACACACACACAGAGAGCGTGGATTTGTTTTCTCTGTGATGAGAGGGATTATGGGATAAAGGAAGCAAGGCCGCAGCAGTTTAGTTCAGTTTGGACCAAAGCTGCTCAGAGCAGCAGCACAATGACAAATACAGATGAATGTCTGGCAGCACACAAGGGATCTGTATCACCGTTAACACTACGGACACTGGATATATGGAACACAGAGCCTCTGATTGGGATTCGGGAAAAAGGGTGGATCTGTCAGTTCACCCCCATTCCCCCCTTTTTTTTCTTTTTTTTTTATTCGTATCACTTAAGATGAGACGAAACCTAAGCTTCCAAGAAAAATCTAGGGATTGCAAGCGAATGAAGCAAATCTAACAGTGGTGCTTTCAGGAATGTCCTGATTTTTTGCCGTTGTACTTTTGTTTTTTCATTCATGGAAATATGGGAATATCACTGTTTTCTACACAACCAATACCAAATTTCTTTCATTTTTTTTTATTCTATCAGATTTGATATACAAGGGGACCCGTATTTTGTTTTGATTTAGGACTTAATCTTCTAAATACTGAAAGAAATGGTATGACAGAGAGATGCATCCAACCCATCAACAGCACAATGTGGGAATAAGCCAGCTGGATTATTATGTCGATGATGCAAATTTATAGTATGCATTTTCATTTGTTTAAGAGATCTTTTTTCCATCTATCTCCTCTCCATTTCTGTCACCGACATTGTCAGTATAATCTGCAATAAGGGAGTCAGCTGTCACATCAGGACTTTGCTTTCCGTCGCTTCAGTGGTATAATTCTCGTTTGCAGCTGCCACAGCAGCATTCATATTTGCAGCCATTGATTGCTAAGCTACGGAATCAATGAGCAGTTGTTTGACCGCGGTCGATTGCACTAAGCAGACCTAAACCACACAGCAAGCCCCGCTGAGAGACAAGGAGTCACAATAATTAGACTGAGTGCAATCTAACCAGACTGTAACAAAGTACCTTTACTGAGAGCTGCAGGTTTTCTAAATCTAAAAGATCCAAGAAAGCAATAATTGAAGCTGAGTTGGGCCGTTCTAATAAAATACCTTTCATATAACTTTGTTTTTGTTGTAAATGAGGTTCACAACAAAATACAGGTTCAAGCACAGTTTTAAAGAAGGAGGAAGTGTGTGGAATTTTATTGAAGCTTGTTTCAGATCAGGATTAAAATGGAAAAATTATTCCCTTTCCAGTCTTTATTCGTCATGCTGTTATCTAAATTATAATGTACTTTATTGGACGCTGATTCAAAAACTGTGTGAATATTACCACTCGATGTCCAAAAACATAGGATTTAAGGTTGAGTTAAGGTTCCTATAGGGGACTCAATTGATTTAAGAACCTCATTTATTATGACTAGGCTTTTCCCTGCTGCTCAATTTTATTTGGTTCCTACAGTATATATTACATTTCGTAAGGTTTTAACAAAAGGTTTTTGGTATAGTATTTAAAAAAGAAAAAAATTTAAGCCAAACCTCTTTAACTACATCCAATAAAAAAGAACTACTTGATTTGAACTGCCTTAAACGACAACTTTAAAGCAATATTAGGAACAGTCATTCTTTTAAAGGGTCATTTGATATTGTTGAATAAGTTCCTTTTAAAAGGGTTTCATATGTAATAACCAAGTGGAACTTGGTTATTTACTTGTCAAAGCAAATCTGTTGGGTTATTTAAGAGCTCTGGGACACTCATTTTTAGTGTGATAATGGTAAACAGAACATACACAAAAAAGTAAAAAAATAAATTAATTTTGACAAAGGTTATTACTTCCCTGTATTGGGAAGAGTTACACCAATCAACATTTTCCCAAACAAAACTTAAAAAATAGGATCTCATCTGTTTTGGTTAAAAATTGACTTCAGTTTCTTTGATAACTAAAAGTTGATTAGTATTAGTGCTTCAAAGCATATATGTAGATTTATAATAAAGTCCAAACATGAGATATTTTGTGTATGATATCTGGGTCATGAACAGAAAGTTTTCCTTTAGATTTTTTTCCCAATGATTAGTGCATCTCTTGTGTCAGAGTTTCAATGTTTTCACAGCTTTAACGCAACTCCATTCTTCAGGTAAAGCTGCAACTAACGAATATTTTGCAATTTTATTAATCTGTCTATTATCTTTTTGATTAATTCAATAATAATCGGATACTTTTTAAAGACAAACTTTTTACGAAATTGAATTTTTCTTAAATAAAAATTCTTTATACATTTTTTACAATCTCAATATAATCACTGCTCTAAGTATGTTGCTGTGTCAGCTAAATTCATGTCTTAGAGTCACTATAGTCCAGTTAATGATTAATCGAGTACTAAATTAGATGACAATTATTTCAATAATCAATTAATCGCGATTAAGCCAATAAATTGTTTCAGCCCTATCCTCAGCAATACAAAGATAACAAAGAACAAAAAAAAAGCCTCCAATTCCTTTGTCTAAAAAATGGATTGATTGACAAAGAATTGAAAAATAGGCATGAGGAACATTTTTTTTATTATTATATAAACTCAAGACCTGTATTTCAAATAAGCCCAAAAAAATGTCAAAAAATGTAAGTTTTTAAGACTTTTTAAAGCCAAAGGTTTTTATTATACTTGATCTAAAATATAATTTTTACCTTCAGAGACCAATTCTATAAGGTTTGCCAAAACCTTTTAAGTTAGTATATTTAACAAATACGTTCAGACATGATACTCTGAAATTTTAGTTGTCAGATGATTGGGGATTTAAATGGAAAGTTTGTAGGAGCACTGATCTGTTAAATGTCAAACAAAGTAGAAATTGTTTCTGTATATTTTATACCATCATTAAGCATATTTGCTATTCATTTATCTTAGTTTGTTTTCAGGGGTTATTATTAGAAATCCCCTATATTTCTGTGTCCCTTCCTTTAGCCACAAGAATAAGACATCAGGCTGGCCGCCTCCCGGTCAAGGCTCCTGGGGAGGTCTGCAGGGGCCCCCATACAGCTGGGACAGCATGAGCAACACCAGGGATGGCCGGGACTTCTTAACCAAGTACGCCTCATCCTATTAACGCATTGACCAATATGATTTTAATTTACACATTGCCTTCTTTTTATACTGAAGCCCTTAAAAAATCCACTGGAAGAAGCACATTACTTTAGCTTTAAATTTATTCCAAATGTGTTGAAAGTCAGGTTGGGTATCACTCTTTGAGGGTGGACATTATATGGAAAACAAACATTTTTTTAACCACATTAAGACATAAGGAAGTGAACTGATAGAGACCAGTATATATAAATTAGTTTGATATTTTAGCATACAGGCTAAGGATCAGTATTTCCGATGATGGAAATGTGCTGCTGACGTAAAAAAATGTCAATTGTTCAAGATGGCAGTTTTTGGAAAATACATTAAAGGGACTGTCTAAGGTAGGATAGCATAGCAGAAGCATAATGCTATCCAATTTAAGAGGTTTCCAAAATTATCACTCTTTATAAAAACCTATTGAACAAAAACACCGGAAGAATTAATAATCTAGATTTCAAATCTGCCTGTATGATCTGATTGAATTGTCTCTATAAAGTACCTTGGGATAACATACTGTTTGTAGTTAATTGGCGCTGAATAAATAAATAAACTGCGTTAAATTATAAGTGATTGCTTTTACTCAAAGCCTAGGTATTGTGAGTCCAGTCCAATTTGTTTTTCAGATGGTATTTATAAAAGTACACTATCTGAATGTCCATTGCCTAGATATTTACCAGTGTCAGTGGGGTGGATTTGCTTCTGTGAAAGTCCACCACTAGCTCATTGGTTTTCCCTGCATTAATCAGAAGCTGGTTCTGCTGGCACCAGACCATGAAGTTCTGGTGCACTGTCTGTATTCCGAGTCTTCCCCAGCTGTTTGGAGGCCAACTATGGCAGAATTGTCAGAGAACTTCAGGAGGTGGCAGCACGGAGAAGTTAAGGGAGAAGTCTGCAGTGTAAAGGGTGAAGAGGAACGGTGCCAGCACTGTTCCCTGTGGGACCCTGCTGTTCAGTATGTTGCAGATTGTACATCAGTTTAAATCTGACTCTAATCATAAACGATTGTTTCTAGTCAACTTTTTTTGACAGTTCAAGAAATATGTTTGCTGTTTTTCTATTGATGATATGGAAGACTAACAGAGTGGGTGTGCCTGTTCAAACCCACTATAAATAAGACTTGATCTCTTGAGTTTGTTCTTTACCCAGAAACTAACCTTGTTATCTTAATTCTGTCCTGTAGTTAGATTAAACCCCACTGGCCCTGACGTAGAAGATGAGCAAGCATGGCTAACTGAGACATGCCTCTTTGCAGCAGAGATGAACAAATGAGAGCAGCATGTTGTGACCTTGGACCATGTTTCGATCATAAGTACACATTTAGTTAGTTATTATAATCATTTGGTTTTACTCATAAAATAAAAGCTCACAACGCCAAAGTTGAGGACTGACATGGGAGGTTTCTAAACATAAAAAAGTAGGAGGAGGGACATAATTTAGAGGCTCCAAGAGAATGAGTTGCTTCTACTTAAACTGTGTATCCCTCCGTTCAGTATCAGAGATTCTGCAGGCTTAGTATCCTTCCAGAAAGACATTTCCGGCTCTGGACCAAATGTGCAATTAAATTATGCATTTGCATTTTTGTAATTTCGTCAAAGGTGACTGCAATGACTTGCAATTCGCAAAAGGAACAAGAAAATGTGAATCTTTATCTGAATGAACTCATTTTAATGTTGCACCAAAGACAAATGGCAGCATATAGCAACAAAATTACAAAAATAGAAGGCAGACACTTTTGTTAAGCCTGAAATACCTCAATTGCTTTCTCTGGCCATGCATCACTTTTATTGCTTTATTCTCCTTACGCATTGAACTGAAAAACGAACTGCTTCAGGGTTTTTGAGATCCACTAAGATAAAAAATGCCCTTGATAAGAGGGTTAACAAGGAAGCCCAAACTTATCCAAGTAAGCGAGATAAAACTTATGTTGCATTTTATATTGTTTAAAAAAAAAAGAGAGATTTTGAAACAACATAGTGACCCGTATTTGTGACTTGTAAAGCTCTATGATCAACAAGCACAAAAAGTTTTTAACATTTTCTTCTTAAGTGTGTCCAAAATTAGTAGTAACAATCCCTTAAAAGGTGAAGAAAAACCCAGCAGGAAAGTGGCTGGATTAAAAAAACCCTTCTTTAAATGTACCATATTAACACTGCTTGGTTCAAAAATCAAACAACTGGAATTGCAATTGTTTTGCTCAAGTTTGCAAATTAGCAATAGGATTAAGAGCAGTTTTAATTTAAATAAAAAGTCCTTTACAGAGAATCAAATACAGCATCTAATAGATATTATATATGAGTTTGAAAAGGAGTTATTAGGACATGATTGAGTTTTCAGTTCATTTTTAATTGCCCCTCTTTTCAGAGCTATATATGTCTCCAAGAGCTAAAATGGTGCAAGTTCACAAATCTGGGGGTTTTATGAATGCAACATGGCCTTTAGGCTTAAGAAGTTCTCTGCATGTGAGCCAAAGATGTGATTTATGAATGGTTAATTTAAATGCTCCAGTCCTAAATTGTAATTTTATTAACATCTTTTTGAGTTAAACTTACTCCTTTTGTGGAGATGAATTCATTAATCTTTCTCTAATGTGCACTTATTCGTATACTGTCATAGAACCGCCCTTAACCAGCTGCAGAGTTTATATTCTGACGCCTCTTGTCCATTATCCACAATGTCTTTTGGAAGGGAAAACGTCTGCTGACTCATTTCACTTATGCTGTAGAGGGTTAAGCAAAATGTCTGCAGTTGCTTAGTTGTCTTATGAAAATGTTTTCGGTTGTTTCCTCCTGCTTTGTTTTTTTTTAGCCAAGGGTCCCAGAGCAGCTCCCTGGAGGAGGTCCACCTCGATGGTCTCCCTCCCGCTCCTCGTCTGGTGGAGATGAGAAGGGATCCGGTCCTAGGCTTTGGCTTCGTGGCTGGCAGTGAGAAACCTGTGGTGGTCCGTTCTGTCACACCTGGTCAGTGTAAAATCCTACTTTCAAAAAAATCGGTTGTTGAAATATCATTTGTAGAATCTTAAATTGTTTGCTTTCTAAACCTGCTGGCTTTGGTGAAAATCAAGGTCTTAAGGTTTGCTGGATAATCAAAGCTTGGGCGAATGTTTTATGACTTAACCCTGCTTTAAACTTCTCTACATCTTTATCTCTGACCTATCTGCTGTGTTCCTTGGCCTTTATGATGCTGCTTGTTTTCTAATGCTCTCTAACAAACCTCAAAGGCCTTTGCAGAGCAGCTGAATTTACACCAAGATTAAATTACAAATAGTTAGACTCAATTTACTATGTGACTTCAAAAGAAAATGGGTTCAACTGGATTTTGTTTATAGCCTCAAGCAAATGGTTGAATATAAAGGGCCTTTTTTACAAACCGTGTTTAAATGAAAGGATTTCTCAACTAAAAACATAAAAGAGAAAAGAGAAAAAAGTACAAATGTTATTCCCAGGTGTAGCAGAGAGAGAAATCTTCCAAGAATTCTTAGTAATTTCTAGTCCCATATAAAAAAAAGCCCCATCTCCAAAAAGATGCCTCCTTTGTTTGTCCTATTATAGCATTTCAGATACCAAAAGTCATAGCAGGTTGTCTAAATATGCCTGGGCAGTTTGGCTCTATGAAAAATATCTTCAGAATTTCCGGATTTACTTTCTTGAATCCATATTCAATCAAGCATCACAGTAGGTGGGCCACATAGAAAAGATGATAAACCCTTTGTGTATGCATGTGGGCATGCGGTTGTTTGTATTGAAAGAAGCGTGTTTTTATTGAATTGGTGTATGTAAGTTCATCACTTGGAAGTGTACATTTCTAATTGTGGCAAGGACTGTAGAAGGCCTGCAATCCCTGGCTTAAATGGCAGCTCCAAAAGGCAACAGTTATTACAGAGCATCTCCGGCACGGCCATAGGTCCCAAAAAGAACCAGGTCACTAACAAAGCACAGGAGAAGCAATCTACACTTAGACAGATTTATTTCTATATACAAGTGTAAAACAAAAAGAAATTTCGTTTAGAACAGCTCTCTAGACAATTTCATTTTCTAAAGTGCAGCCTTGATAAGGTAAGCAGCAGTTGTTGTTGAGCTGCTACTACTGCCTCCAACCCCCGAAGCCCCCACTTCTCCTGGCTCAGGGGAGGAAGAGGACAATGATGGTGATGCTGTGAGGGTGGTAGCCCCCTGGTTTGAAGAGGCAGACGTGGCCGAAGCAGCAGTGGTGCCGCCTGCAGGTTTAGCAGCGACATATGATGCTTGAGAAAGTGTGAAAGCCGGAGGTGGCCGGGAGGAGCCGGTTGGGGATGTTTCAGCATTTGGCAGGGAAGCATCTAGAGTTCTCTCCTCATTTTCACCTGCAATATACATGCCAAAGGTTTGAGAAACAGGATACTGAACACAATCCAGCCCCAACAGCCATGGCTAAGCCTAGAAACTAGCCCCAAGGACCCAGGACCAACAAGACTTGCTAACATTCGGTTGTGTCTGGTGTGGTCCGGCTCAGTTGTGCCTGCCATTTACAGTCAGCACTTATCTAGGTTAGCGTGCTCGGGCCGATCTCGGCACAGTTTCAAAAGGGTAGTGTAAATGGGGCTATAGTCTTCCATTCTCCAATTCCAAAGCCCAAAGTGTTTCCAGCTCATTTCACATTGAGGTGAAGGATGGAGCAAAGCATACCAGAGAAGGGACTATTATCTTCCCAAACCTAAGACCCATGTGCCATGTTGAATATTCAATTCAATTCAAAAATACTTTTCCCCATGGGAAATTAAATGTTACAATAACTCAGTTTTATTTAACCAGTTGTTGTAGTTGTTGATAGTTGTAGGCAGTAAGGATGTTCTGCAGTGTCTGTCTTGCACCGGATCAGGACAAGCCTCTAAATTAAGACTCTTTGTTGTTTAAAAATCTTCTGAAGAGGATACTCACAGTTGTCCAAAATGTTCTTCACTTTATGAAGAATTCTTCTTTTTTATATAATATCCGGAGGTTCTAGATGACCTCCTAGAACAGTGCTAGGAGTTTACCCCAGCCCGGTTACCCCAGCAGATGATGGAGGAAGGAATATGTTAGGGACAGCATGACTCCCTCCTCGGGCACCAGTTCCCTAACCCAGACATACCCCCAATCCCTGTTTCCCCTTTCCCAGCCCAGGATGGCGTGAAATGAATCTCCACTGAACAGGAACCAGTTGTGACTTTCACCATTGTGAAGACTAAACGCTTTTACAGTCACAAGCAAAATGTTACATTAACCCAAATGATTGTTAAGGGTCTCCTTTCTTCCTGTAAGCATGTTGGTTGATTGCAAAACTGCTGGCATCTGTCATCAGCTAGGTCGGCTGCGTAAACTAACACGCAAGCACCGTCTCCTCAGTAATCAATCAAAGCTGAATTCCAAGCAGGCTGCTGAACTAGTGACAATCCTATTCAGAGAGCTTGGTCAACAAAGACAATCCAGCTGCTCCCACCTATTATATGTGTCAGGAGATAAACATGCGCAAGGATTAAGATCTATACTGCAACAGCGCTATATGCACACTGCCTAGTTAGTTCATTTAATCATGAATCTCTCCAGTGGAGAACTTTATTCAGTCAATGTTTTTCTGCGTGCAGGTGGTCCATCTGAGGGGAAGCTGCTGCCAGGCGATGAGATTATCATGATCAACGATGAGCCAGTCAGCTCAGCCCCCAGGGAACGAGTCATCGATCTCGTCAGGTAGATGCACAGTCTGGTTTTTGGACATAAATATTCGAATGACGCTGAGTTTCCCATACTGAACAGCGGAATGCCAAATGTTAGATTTATTCATTGTTTTCTAGTGAGCTTCAAAGTCTTTAATATGTTTGACTGAGCGTCTCTATCCTCCTGAGGTGTCTTTCTCATTGAATTCTCTGCTTTTGTTCATACATTTTAATCTCCACTCAGGCCTGTTTCCAATATACTCCAGGTTTGTTGAGATGTATATTTCCCAACTATGCCTAGAACAGCTCTCCCTGTTCAGTTAGTATTACGAGTCGCATTATTCTTAAGCGTGCTTTGCAGTCAAATGTCAGATTGGATATACATCCTTGAGAAGTTTGCAAGCAGTTCATTCTAAGAAAAGTCTGAAGAAATGATTACTTGTTTTCTTTTAGTCCATTTTTGGTTTGCAGATACTTATTTTAAAGGTGTGGCTGAGGTGATTTAAGCTCCATCTATTTGAGATAATCTATTTCTCTTTAAGGATTCTTTTAGGAGAGGCTTTAGTTTTATGTCAGCAGTCAGTTTTATGTCATTTAAATGGAAAGTATTACTTTCCATTTGCATCCTATTTCGGAAAAACTGCAGTTATTTTGTTAGTTATTATTTTCACTAAAGGTACACCTGTATCAGGACAGTTGTTCTTTGCTGAGCCTACCCTGAATGGATTAATTGAAAATGATATTAATTTACTCAAATATATGTTTATATTTAATGCATTAATGTCCAACTTGGTTAATTTGTTTAGCTTTGTCTCTTCACTGAAAGGAGACACTGACAAACCTAATACTTTGTTTACGTTTGTATGTGTTTCTATTGTTGTATCTCTGTTGGAATTAAGTTTTTTGATATTTGACTGTTTGCTTTTCTTTTTCAATCTCCTACAGGGTGTTTGTGTGTTTGTTTTTTTATGTATATTTTCTCCAACAAATAAGTGCTTGTGTTGACTCTGGTTCTGCTAGAGACTCCCTGTTTAAAGGGGATTGGGTCTTTCCACTATACCCACGTGTTTACTGAGAATGAAGAAATTCTGTAAAAATCATTAACTTTATGCAGTAAGCTAATTTTCCCGAGTGATACAAACAGCAAACTGGCTTTGTTTCATTGCCTGCATATAATTGCATCTAAATCTGACAAGAAGACTGAATAGTAGATTAAATTTGACCTAATTTTCTTATAAATTTGCACTATATAACTGAATTACATTCAATTAGTACTGCAGTATCTGATTAAATTTGTAATCATTTAGTTGTTGTTGAAATCCTTATTAGTATCACTCCAGTGAGGTTCTTGCAGTGTGTTAGCAACAATTTCCACCCTTCTGCTTTAACTTTAATGCAGTTTTTGTCAAGAGAGAAAACGTCAAGAAGCATCTTTTGGTGCGCTCATGCTCCGGTTACTCTGACTCAAATCCTGCTCCACAAAATCATCTCTGCCTTTTTGTTTTTCGATTCAAAATGAGAGATTAATGAGTTTGTGGTTGAAAGCTCCGGGTTTGAGCCGCATGTGTTCGGCCGGTGCCAGAGGCTTTCATTCCACCTCGCCTAAGCTAATCATATTCTTCCTGTATGTCGGCTGTCGACGTTTCTATGTGATTGTTTTGTCGTGATTTAATTGACTCTCTGGTTTCACCGTCTGCTTGTTGCAGGAGCTGCAAAGAGTCCATTATGCTGACTGTTGTTCAACCATATCCAGTGAGTAGACATACAGGATTTATCATCTTCTCTTACAGTAACTGATGCTTTAATAAATGATGTTTTTTTTTTTTTTTTACCTGAAAAAATAAGTACTTGCAATGCACTTTGATAACTTTTCTTTACTCTTAACTTAAAACGTGTGCAAGGGAGTTCATAAAGCCATATACAATTGAAGGCTGTTTGCAATATACCTCAATTATTTGTGGCCCAGAGCTTCATTAGTATTTGCTGACTTGTTCTGTTTTTATGTAAAGGCTTATATGAATGTGAAATTATTTTCACTTTATATTTTTTATGTCGGAAAAAGAAATGAACTGCTTTCTGTTATGCAGTAAAGTCCATTACTTTTAAAACACTCCACACGCTTAACATTTCAGACAAATTGGAAATGCATTTCTCTGTACATCCCATTATAGATTACCTCTTTTTTTGCTTTTTTTTAATCCCCTTTACATGTATTGTATCATTAAACAAGCACAATCCAGATATAAAATGCATTTTCAAGTGAGAAGAGTATTTATAAAGGGGAGAAGAGAATCCAAGCCCCATTACTTTTGTGAAAAAATAACCTCCTATACTGTAGAGGTGATGGCACAACTCATTTTGGATAGTTTTACATTCACTTTTAAGAAGAAAAATCATTAAATTAAACTCATCATTTAAAATCTGCATTTATAGAAATGATATGATATTAAAAACAAGGATTTATCCAAAACATTAAAGCTAAACCTGCAAAGGGACAGATTTGTTCACACTGTAAATAATCAATAGCAGTTCTTAAAGTTCTAATCATGTCAGCTTTCTTTTTTTTTTCAATTATATACTTTCTACAATTCCTAAGCATAGATTATTTTGCACATTTCTGTTTGTCAAGATATGATTCCTATCGATCCTTAATCACGATAGGATCAATAAACTTCCTGAGTGAAACATACTAAAAACAACACATGTAACCTATGTTGAATTAGTGTAAGTCTGTGATTTAAATATAAGGCAGATAAATATTAGAGGGTTAAATTAATGATTATTAAATCTCATAAATTTGTATAGCTCTTGCCAGCCTGAATTTCTTTTGTCAATAATCAGTTTAAAATTATTTCTAACGGGTCATGAATATACCAACCTAGCAGAGTGCCTTGACATTTTTAGCCTATTATTTCAAGATGTAAAGGTGTGATTTCTTTTTTTCTTGCCCCTTTTGGACAAGCATTTAACTTGAGTATCCAGAACCAGTAAAAATGAATTTATGCTGAATAAAGACGCCAGGAGTGGTATCTACATTAGATTATGCAAACCTTGTAAACCTTTAACAGAGGCCCATTTTTTTTTTAATCCTTAAATTTCCATTGGAAATTTTATCAGAGGTGGAGCGGAAAGGTTTCCGGTGCTCTGCAGAAAGGACTTTTATGTAAGGGTTAGCCCCTGTTTGACAGGAACCTTTAATTTAAGAGGGGACAAAAAGCTCCCTGCAAAAGCAATTTATAGCAACTTTCAAGCGACCTTGAGATGAGGGTTTAATATGGTTTTTAAAAGTCAAAAACTGAACTTTGTGCTAATACTATTAATGGTGTGCTTCTGTCTATAAAACCATTGCAAAATTTAAACTCCATTAGCATGCTTAGGTAACAGTTCCTAGAAACTGAATATTTGAAAGAGATATAGCTCAAGCTGTGGTGCTTTTTAAAGGCTGCTACGTACTGATTGTGTCTCATCAGTGCCGTCTTGGAGGGCATCTATAGGGCCCATAGGCATTGCTGCATGTTCTTCACACCTGGGCAAAACTTTGTTTTCTCCAGGGTTTCCAGCTGCTGGAAAGGATTTAGATGGGTTTGTTTAGTTTGCAAAATCAAAAAAGTTCTCACATATCTCTCTCATATCTGTAATCGTAGTCAACTCTGGTGGTTGAACATGCCACTTCTGCTCACTTGCAGCGTTTCCTCTGTAATTTATCCAAGTGGGACAGTCCCACCCTGTGTCACAGCTCACTCCTGGTGTTTGCAGTCCCAAATAGCGCACTGTCAATCGATCTTCAGGGCTGTGTTCATGGGGCAGCCTTTGACAGCCGAGCATCTTGTGAATTATGGATATTCACATTCAAAAGAAATGTTTTTCTTGTTCTTGCCACTTTGAAAACAGAAAAAAAAAGTCTGTTTATTGTGAAGGATGTAGCAGCCTATAAGCACTGAAAATGTCCTACAAATGCATAACAGGTTTAAAAAGCTATATTAAAAAATATGTTTTCCCACCCTTGAGCTGTTAGCCATTTACAGTACGGTATATGAGATAGACCAGTATAATGTCATATGAATGAGAGAGCAGTATTTATATAAACACGTTTAACTATTTTGGAAAAGGCAAGGCAAGTTTATTAATATAGCACAATTCAGAACAAAGACGATTCAACTTGCTTTACATTAATAAAAAACAATAAATGGAAGTAAAATAAAAGCAGAATAGAAGGAAGTAAAGCAGGTAATAAGATCAAATATTTAATAATACTTCAGTTAACATTTCAGTAACTTCAACAGCTCCAAACTAATGGTTTTTAAACTTGGACTTAAAGGAACTGAGGCTTTCAGCACTTTTACTGTCTTCTAAGAGTTTATTTAAGATAAGTGGAGCATAGGAACCGAATGCTGCGTCTCCATGTTTGGTTCTACTTCTAGGCTTAACCTAGAAGACCTGAGAGGTCTGGGAGGTTGATACACTGACAACAAATGTGTTGCGTATTGAGGTGCTGATCCATTCGGTGATTTATAGACTAACAGAAGGATTTTAAAATCTGTTCTCTGAGCTACAGGGAGCCAGTGGAAGGACTTCAGAATCGGGCTGATGCTTTCTTAGCTGTAGTTAGATGGACAGCAGAGTTTTTGATCAGCTGCAGCTGTTTGATGGACTTTTTTTTAGGCAAACCTTTGAAGACACTGTGACAGTAATCAATTCTACTAAAAACAAATGCATGAATTAGTTTTTCTAGATCCTGCTTGGACATTGGCCCTTTAATCTTGGAAACCTTGTTCAAGTGATAAAAGGCTGACTTTTTAACTGCCTTTATGTGCCTTAGGAGGGGCCCCAGAATTGAGCCTAGCGGAACCCCAGATATGATTTTTCTGGTCTTTGATTTAAAGTTCCCTAGTGACACAAATAAGTCATTTTCCTTCAGGCAGGATTTAAACCAGTCCAAAGGACCAGAAAGGCCGACCCGGTTTTCCAAACTTCCTAATAGATGTCGGAAATTCTCCATAGCAACTTATATTAGCAAATAAAAGGGTTTGTATCACAGCATCTGTATTCCATTGAGCAGGGGTCTCTTATTAACGTCTAAAAATTATAAAAAAGAAAAAATAATGTACTATAATAACAAATACCAGTCTTAGAAGCTTCAGTAGTTTTTAGAAAAATATGTCAATTGAATTTTAACAACATAATTAAATTAAAAGAGCCAGAAATACAATATCTTATTAAAGGATTTTTTAATTATCATTGTTTATATCAAATAATAATCCTATAGAACAAAAATCCATGCTTCATATTTATTATGTTTTATTTTTTCCATATTTTAAAGGCTAAAAATACAAGTACAATGTTGTTTTTTTAGGATGGCAACTGATTTCCTATGGCAGACATTCAACAAAATAATATGTCATGTAGTATTTTGTGGCTTTAAACAACTTTTACTTAGCGGGACTCAGGGTGAAATGGCTCTCTGAATGTGAAAAATTGAAGACCCTGCCCTAGCAACTGCATAGAGACTTCAAATCGATGAATTTTTCATTATCAACAGGAGTTCATTCCTGTTATCTGCTAAAATTCGGGCTCTCTCCTACTGGTGTGTACCATCAATTAAATGCAAACACCTCCCGGTTTACAACTATACTAACTCAAAGAGGCAAAAACTTTTATTTTCATGATTTTGAATAGCTATTTAACTTACAGTGTTCTTTTCACACTTTTGCACTGCAAACAGTCTTGCTATTAGTGCTTAGATATGGTGTCTCACTGATCAATAAAATATCTGATTTTGGAGTCACTGTTGAAAATCATACAGAAAATGGACTCACTATTGTCATCTGTTGATTTATATGGGCTTCTCTAATTATTTTTTGTTGCTGTTTTGCTTTTCATCCATCTTCTAATTTTTCTGGTTTCTACAAAAAAAAAAAAATCACAATCAGATGGTTGTTGAGTGAAATGTATAAAAAAAAGATTTTATTTATTCGAAATATTAAAGTTATGGCAGTCTGTGATTTTTCTCAGATTTCATTTGTTTTTCAATGCTTCTCTTGATCCTTTTTTTTCTGTGTCTCTTTTTGGACGACTGCCTCTTAGTCTCCTAAATCAGCGTTCATCAGTGCAGCCAAAAAAGCCATGCTGAAGTCCAATCCGGTCAAAGTGCGCTTTGCTGAGGAGGTCATTATAAACGGCCAGGTCCCGGTCAGTCCCACTGCACGCACACGCACACATATAAACACATGCTTATGTTTGACCTATATAGGCAATGCCAGATGGTTTCTGCTTAAGACGGACAGTTCGCTGCATGCAAAATAGATAAGACAATCACAAAATGAATTCTTTTCACATATTAAAGGGGCTTCATATGTACAAATGAAAGACAGTGTTGACATTCCTTCTTTGCAGAATCCGGTGAAGGATAACTCTTTACTATTCATGCCAAATGTCCTGAAGGTCTACCTGGAAAACGGGCAGACAAAGTCTTTTCGATTCGACAGCAGTACCTCCATCAAGGTATGTGCTTCCTCTGTGTCTCTGGGGCAAAATTAGCTGCAGCTTCTGCCAATAAACTCACCCAGAAGAGGGTTCTTTTAGAAGTATATTCCCTTATTTTTGGTATAAAATATTTTTCTGGTGACAAAAAGATATATATTAATGTTGAAGGTTTTCTTTTTTATATATATATATAAAACATGTGTATCAAACCATTGGTTGTTTCCAGAGTTCCTAATTATAACTGTTGTAAATCTGAAGCAAAAGGTTGTTGTATTTAAAAAAGGAAAACATTCCTCTAAATCTATATATGACATTTATTATGAAAATAAAAATAGAGAATCTTTTCTCAGTTTAATTGGAAAAGAGAGCAAAGCAAAAAAATCAATATCAATGTAATGCTTTTAATGGTCATGAATAATCTTGTTACTTTTTTATAACCTTAGCAAGTTCAGAATTTGCATTGAGTTTTCTATTGTGAACTAGTAGAATTATCGTTCTTTGTAATTACAACAGTGTGTTTTATTTTCATTCTATGAACCGTTAGTTTTAAATGCCACAGCAAAAATCTGCACAAAAACAACAACATATATCTAGTCTGGAGCTACTGTGCATGTCGTAGCCTCTCAGTAGGCTTTTCTTCATGTTTATTTAGCCGTTGAATACATTATTAAATCATTTTACAGATATTTGCATTTTTTCTGAAGAATTCTCTGATTGAATATTATACATAAAAACTTTAAGCTAACCCAAAACAAATCTATTTTTGTGCATATAGGGTATATTATGTTTTTTATTTGGAAAAGGAAAAAAAAAAAAAGGCCCTGAATTATTTCCTTTTTTTTTTTTTTCGTGTGTATGTTTTGTTGATTTTGGATGTTTTGGCTCAGTTTCTTTTACATGGAATATTTAGAAAGGCTTTGCCTATATGAAATTATTTTTGCCTTTGATGTTGTACTCTATGTCTGACTTTTATCTTAGTAGTCTATTAACAAAAAATAATAAATTGATTTCATGTAAAAAATAATAATTCCCACAGTCTCTAATTTTTACTTTGTTTAACATTTATGTAATTTTTATATTTTATGCCTTTAATTTTTATTTACTTTAGTTTTTTTCTTGAGCTTTTTATTTTTATGTTGGTTTTCCTTGTCTCTTTACTATTTTCACTTTTGAATATTTCTTTATTTAATAGCTATTTGATTTCCTTTTATTTATTTTGTCTATTTTATATATATCCTATTCTCCCTTTTATACCAGGAGGTGATTCTGACCCTGCAGGAGAAGCTGTCCATCCGCTGCATCGAGCACTTCTCTCTAGTGTTGGAGGAGAGAACTGAAGGTTCTGGAAGCAAACTGCTTCTCCTGCATGAGCAGGAGATGCTTACTCAGGTCTGAGACGTTTCTTTTTCCATCTTGCACATGGTTGCAGGTCTTGCAAACACTCACCCAAAGACACACACTTTGCTGCTCAGTATTCAAACGGTACTTAGACCCGGGTGCCATTTATCAGCGGAGACACAGCAGGGGTGACAGTTCACATTACACCTCTCCCTCTGTTACGCTGCCGCACACACAAACAGCACATGGCACATGCCAATTCCAAGTGACCGCTACTTTCTAATGAGGTGGCTGGATCACAAGAGGACAGTTTTAATATTCATGCCACACAATTCAGGAGCAATGCTCTGTTTAACTAAAGTTTAAGGGTCGTTCATCTTTGACAAAGCTAATAAAGCCTTCAAACTGAGCCAATAACTAGAATTCATAATGATTCCTAATATTCTGCAAACCTATTATAGTTTTTTTACCCTCATCACTGCATGCATTTTCATTTTTCTGCCTAACCCAGGTTACCCAGAGGCCTGGTTCTAACAGGATGAAGTGTTTCTTTAGAATAAGCTTCATGCCGAGGGACCCAGTGGAGCTGCTCCGTCGGGATGCTGTTGCGTTTGAATACCTCTATGTACAAGTAAGCTGCGGTGGAAAATCCAAAACTAAACTTTAAAACTGTAAACATGTGCATTTCAGTAACCAAAAACCTAAATGATTTGCTACTAGATGGCGATTGGTGATAACAGAATCAGATTATGTTGTTAAATCTTGTTTAAAGAACTTTCTTTAACTGATAATGAGGTTTAATCATCCCTTAACAATAGTGCAAGTGGAATTGGCTGAGTTTTTTCCTGTGCTTTTAAATCCTTCATCAAGGAGCGGACGCTGTATTGCTTTCAAGGGATTTCAATTAAATTTAAATTATTTTCATTTAAGTCTATTTATATAGCGCCAAATCATAACTCATGTCATATCAAGGCACTTTACAGAGACAATTCAACCAGATCATACAATCACTCATTGACTTGAAAGCAATCCCTCACACTAAGCATTATTGTTACAGCATTACAGAATGGGAGAATAGAGAGAATGAAGCAGAATGATGAAAAAGGGTTGCTATGTCCTCCAGCAGTTTAAGCCTATAGCAGCATAACTATATAGATAGCAAGGTTGACAAATGTGCAGTTTTCAAAAAGTAAAGAATTTGTCAGCCTAAATTCAAGGCTTTTTTTTTTTGCATTTTTAACAAATAATCCCTTTAGCCAACTCTTCATATAGAAAAAAACATATGGAGCGCACCCCTCATGGTTGTACTTCAGCTGTGAAAATCTTGCAGCTTCTCCCAAGTTACCATGGATCTTTTGATCATCTCCATCGTATAACCTATTAAAAAAAAAACAATAAAATATTTGAAAAAAATCAGACTAAATGCTTATCAAAACAAAATGTGTAAACCTTGAGTATGTGTAAATCAGAGCCAAGATCCATCTCCCTTAAGTGGGAGTTTTGCAGAGGGAATTGCAGTCGTGAGCTGCTAAAACTGACTCTTGCATCATTTTGCTTCCTATTTTGTTGCAGTGTTGTAATGACGTGGTCTTGGAGCGCTTCGGCCCAGAGCTTAAGTACGATGCTGCTCTGCGACTGGCTGCTTTGCAGATGTACATCCTCTCCATGACGGCCAGACAGAGTCAAAAGGTTTCTTTGAAATATATCCAGTAAGTTGGGAGAGTGTGTTTTACATTTCATACAAGCTCTCTTAAGTTATAAGGCCAGCCTGATGAGTGTCAGAATGTCTTTTTCTGTCTTTGTGACCAAAAGGCAAAACACTAAGAAAAGAAAAGCTCTCCTCCGCAGACAGACAATTCAGTGTTCTTTTTCTCTCCCTGACAGTCAGTTTGCAATGAAAAACCAACCCTTCTACAGCTGTCTACCACAACTGTTTTAATGTAGCTCTGAGGGGAAAACTTTGTTTTCAAGTTCAGCTTTATTCTGAAACTAAATCTCTCCACAGAAAGGAGTGGGGTCTGCCACTGTTCCTGCCTCCAACTGTGCTGTCCAGCATGAAGGAGAAAAACATCAAGAAGGCTCTGACGCACATCCTGAAAACCAACCAGAACCTTGTGCCTCTGGGGAAAAAAGTAACTAGTTCTCTTTGTCTTTATTTGCCCTTGTTATTGACTTCCAACACATACGATCGCCATCTCACAGCAACTAATTTCTGATGCAATACCTCGAAATAGCCTGGCTGCCATACTCATCCTTGCAAAGGTTTTCACCTTTGTCAACCTGAGACCCTCCACCAAGTTAGACCTTGAATGTTAATGTGGAAAACAAGCAACATGCTTTGTCAGAATCTTTGCATAATGAGGTATTGATATTCATTCACACATGTTCCGGTCAGAAGGAGGTTTTTGTGACCTGGACTGAACTTTCAAGCACTTTCTCAAACTCCAGCTGGTCCTGTCTGCAACATGCGTTGTGACTTTGGGGAGTGAAAATCAGCCAGCCAAAACTCAGTTAAACTTTGCAATTGCCTCAGGTGTTAAGGATCAAATTATAACTTTTTTTTCCTGCCTCATAGCTCCATGATAACTGGTTATGTTGATGCACTTGTAACAGGCTTTCATTCCAAAGGCTCCAACAGATGAAAATACAGACATTGAGTCGAAATCAAAGCTAAAAACAAGCTACTTATGGCTCTTTTCCATTTGTGAGAGAAGGGAGCACTATCAAACTAAAGCTAATTATACCTATTGCTAACTTTCTGTAGTTGTCATATACACCATTAGACCAACATTAAGCCATATAATGGCCATACTAAGCCTCTGGACCAAAGGATATCATATTAGACTGTCAATATTAATAATATCAATGTAGTTTCTTTTAAGGTTTCTGTCACAGCCATCAGAGTTACAAACTGCTTCTTCATTATTATTAAAGCAGATTACAGATTAGCAATGTTTTTACAAACTATTTATATATTCCTATTAAGGGGAAACATTTTGTAGAGCGAAATAATTAAAAAGACTGTATCCACTATCCTACAATCATAAGTCCTTTATATTTTGCAATACGTTGGTGTCGGAAGCCTTCATTCAGCCTTCATTCAGCCTTCATTCAGCTCAGCTCAGCTAAACAACACATCTCAAAACTACCAAAGATAACATTTTTTACACTATTGTACACATGGTAAATAGTAAATGGCATGTACTTATATAGCGCCTTTATTCAAGTCAGCAGACTTGACCAAAGCGCTTTACACTACATTCATTCACCCATTCACGCACACACTCACACACTGATGGTGGCAAGCTACATTGTAGCCACAGATGCCCTGGGGCTCACTGATAGAAGCGGGGCTGCCTTACACTGGCGCCACCGGGTCCTCTGACCACCATCAGTAGACAATGCAGGTGAAGTGTCTTGCCCAAGGACACAACAACACTGAAAGTCGGAGTCGGATGGATGCTGAAATATACATTTATTGGGATCCTTGATGCAAAAAGACAATCAGTCAAATGTGAACATCTCATCTGAGTCAAATTAGTTTTCCAACATATTAACCTGACACAGGCAACAACCAGGATTATCTTCTTGATACTTTACAACACATGCATTGCACACTTCAGGAACACTTAAAGTAGAAATATATCATCTTGTACCATGTATATAAAGACTCAGAGCATTAGTTTTCAACAACTGACAGATTTTTTTCAACGCACTCTTATTGTTGGAAACCCTGTAAACAAAACCGAAGAGCTGTTTTGAGAAGAATTATGTAATTGCTAGTGTTGATATCGGAACAATAAATGTGCAAATTTACAAACATTTTGTGACTCAACCGGTTTCCCACACAGTCTGGGAAGGTGTGGAAAAAGATCATCCCAATTTAAAAATCATTTTAAGTTTCCAGACTTATATAATATTTTCATTTTTTCTCCATCTGCCCTTCCTTCTTTGCGTCTTTACCTCCTGTTGAATTCCTCACTCCCTCCAAACTCCATGTTCCTACTCTTCTTTCTTTCTTTCTTTCATCCCATCTTTGTATTCAGTTTCCTACCACCTTATCTCATCTCATTCCATCTGACCCCTTGTGTCCTATAACCCTTCTTTACCTCGTGTCTCCTTTTAATGTGCCATTTTCTTTGTGTAGGACCCCAGTCTTCTTCCTTTGTTATTTAATCTTTCCCTGTTTTGGACCTCTGTTCTTTCTTTCCAACCTCCTGTCCTTACATCCATCATTGTGTAGTCCACCTCTCTTCTTTCCTTTCTTCTCTCCTTCCCTGCTTTTGTATAGAACATTAGTATTTTATCTTGAGTATAGTGGGGTTGAGTTTATCAACACTTTGTGTAAAAAAAAAAGTCCAAGAACCCTGTGGAATGAACCATATTTTGGGTTTTGCAGACTTCTTTATCTTTGATTTGCCAGGGCACCATTTGATTTTAAAAGTTTACATCATTTCCTCACTAACCCAATACAAAGAACTATTTTGTTACTTTTTGCTGTCACTGCTTTAAGATAAGGGTTAAACCATAAATGGTTCTTGATGTTACTTTCACAAACTGTACTAAAATCTGCTAAGTCAGGATTTTTTTTTATTGAAGCAGCAATAAAATCATCCAATACCACATGTTGAAAATAACAAGGATGTACTAGCTTACAGTTCTTTGATTTGAATATATAGTTTATAGTGAACTGCTATCTATTAAAGCACTTGCTCTTAAATGTCCACAATATTTATAACACTCCATTAAAAAATATCTGAATTTAGAAACATAGGGAAATGTAAAGCGAAAAATGCTTTGGAACCTCTTTCACAGGAGAACTATACCAAAAGCAAGTGAGATATAAAGAGCACTGTAGTGGATTAGATTTAAATGATATGATGTTGTATAATGGAAATGCAGTGGTCCAAATCAAAATGGCTTGACCGTTCTTTACATCCTCTAGAAGCCTCTAATGCGTCTGCTCAGATTGAAGTGATTTAATTTCTGAGTAATTACCTCTGTATCTCTCTTCTATCTTTACAGCTAACTGCATTGCAGGCCAAGGTGCATTACCTGAGGTACATCAGTGAGCTCAAACTATATGGAGGAAGAGAGTTTAAATCGATACTTTTGGTGAGACATTTGTCAAACTCTGTCTTAGGGATTTGTTTTTTGCAGCCTCTTTTATATTGCTTTCTGTCCTTCTGGCTGCAGCAGGGAGAGAAACAGACAGAGGTGATGCTGTTAGTGGGCCCGCGATATGGAATCAGTCATGTAATTAATGCCCGGACCAACCTTGTAGCCCTGTTGGCCGATTTCAGCCACGTTAACCGCATTGAGATTCTTACTGAGGACGAGATGAACGTCCGGCTGGAACTTCATGTCCTGGATGTTAGGGTAAGTAGGTGGTCTTTGAAAACAGAAACCTGGAAAACATGCTGTAGTACATGAGTACCTTACTATATCTTCTATTTTGTTCATAATTTAATACATAAGCTCTTGTCTATCCCCTTGTTTTCTCAGCCCATCACACTAATCATGGAGTCAAGTGATGCAATGAACCTTGCTTGCCTAACAGCTGGCTACTACCGCCTCCTAGTGGATTCCCGTAGATCTATTTTCAACATGGCCAACTGCAATAACATAGCAGAGGATGACACTGGTGAGTCATCAATATATTAATTACTTTTGCAGACATATCACTGCTGTATGAAAACTCGATATACTGAGAATAATTCCACAAATCTTTTGAATTTTACTATGAACATTATGTTCAGATGGCCAATTTTAAAAGGCAATTATTAACAACTCTTGATGTTTTGGTCTGAGAAAAAAACCCTGTAAACTAAATTTAAATGACTTAAGAATTTATGGTCTACTGGGAGGCATTCGACCTTAAATATCCTGAAGTAAAGCAGCAACAGGCCAGCTAATTTAAAGATTAATCAAAATGAAATATGAAACAGAAAAAGTAATATTCCCTTGCTTGCTGCAGGTCAGGATCGTGTCCTTGAGTGGCCATACAGCACATCTTTTGGGGAAAATGAAGAGCCAGCACAGGGGTCTGTCTATAACAGGAACTATTCAGACAATGGGCAGAGGGAAAACAGCATTTCTCCTTACTTTAATGAGCCCCAAAATCTTGATAGCGACCTAGGGAAGAGAAGAAGTCCGGTTCCCCCTCCTCTTCCCCCTGCAACCAGGCACAAAACTCAGGACTCTCCTCGGAGTGCCAAAGTTTCATTTATTTTTGGAGGTAACCCACCGTTGAACAGAGCAAGGAACTATGAAGCACTGCCAGAGAGCCCTGAGTCCTCCGAGCTCTTCCAGTTCAGTGAGCTAACGCACATCTATAGCAACATTATAACGGAGGAAGGTGGTGAGGAGCCTGTGCTTAGGGAGCTGTTTAATCGAGACGCAACAGACGATGCAGAGGATGATGAGGATGCTTCCTGTGAGGAAGACTCCACAGGGGGGACTCCAGTTGGTGATAACAGGGAAGGTGGACTGAACTGTGACAGCCAAGGAGCACGGTTGCCCACAGCAGCTGGCAAAGCCACTTTTCTTAACCTCTCTGGGTCCACGGATGATATCATCGACCTCACATCACTGCCACCTCCCGAAGGAGACGACGGGGTCAACGACGATGAGGACGACTCCCTGTTGCAGACCCTGAACCTTGCAATCGCAGCGCCACCACCAGGCTTTCGGGACAGCATAGATGAGGACACAGCCCCAGAGGGACGGCCTCTAAGCACATGTAGTAATGATGACATCCCTGTATCGCTAATCGATGCCGTTCCAACACATGGGGAGGAAGAAGGAAGCAGAGGAGGGCAGAGTAGGTTAGAAAATGCTGTTGTGAATTCGTTACAAGCACTGGCGGATCTATCAGTCTCTGAGCGGAGACCTCATCGCCCACCACCCAGAAGTAACAACACAGGTCTGTGAGACACTTTTAAATTTACATCAATGTTTGTTCATTGTGGATTACACAGTTATTTACTTTTAAGTTTTTCAGTCAAACAGTATTCAGTATTCTTTGTCATTTAGACTTTCCCAAACACTGTACAGGTGCTGGTCATAAAATTAGAATATCATGAAAAAGTAGATTGATTTCAGTAATTCCATTTAAAAAGTGAAACTTGTATATTATATTCATACATTACATACAAACTCATATATTTCAGATGTTTATTTTGTTTAATTTTGATGATTACAAATGACAACAAATGAAAATCTCAAATTCATCATATCAGAAAATTAGAATATTGTGAAAAGGTTCAAAATTGATGGCCCCTGGTGCCACACTCTAATCAGCTAATTAACTCAAACCACCTGCAAAAGCCTTTAAATGGTCTTTCAGTCTAGTTCTATAGGCTACACAATCATGGGGAAGACTGCTGACTTGACAGTTGTCCAAAAGACGACCATCGACACCTTGCACAAGGAGGGCAAGACACAAAAGGTCATCGCTAAAGAGGCTGGCTGTTCACAGAGCTCAGTGTCCAAGCACATTAATAGAGAGGCGAAGGGAAGGAAAAGATGTGGTCGAAAAAAGTGTACAAGCAAGAGAGATAACCGCACCCTGGAGAGGATTGTGAAACAAAACCCCTTCAAAAATGTGGGGGAGATTCACAAAGAGTGGACTGCAGCTGGAGTGAGTGCTTCAAGAACCACCACACACAGACGTATGAAAGACATGGGTTTCTGCTGTCGCATTCCTTGTGTCAAGCCACTCTTGAACCACAGACAGCGTCAGAAGTGTCTTGCCTGGGCTAAAGAGAAACAGGACTGGACTGCTGGTGAGTGGTCCAAAGTCATGTTCTCTGATGAAAGTAAATTTTGCATTTCCTTTGGAAATCAAGGTCCCAGAGTCTGGAGGAAAAGAAGAGAGGCACTTCATCCACGTTGCTTGAAGTCCAGTGTAAAGTTTCCACAGTCAGTGATGGTTTGGGGTGCCATGTCATCTGCTGGTGTTGGTCCATTGTGTTTTCTGAGGTCCAGGGTCAACGCAGCCACATACCAGGAAGTTTTAGAGCACTTCATGCTTCCTGCAGCTGACCAACTTTTTGGAGATGCAGATTTCATTTTCCAACAGGACTTGGCACCTGCACACAGTGCCAAAGCTACCAGTACCTGGTTGAAGGACCATGGTATCCCTGTTCTTAATTGGCCAGCAAACTCTCCTGACCTTAACCCCATAGAAAATCTATGGGGTATTGTGAAGAAGAAGATGCAATACACCAGACCCAACAATTCAGAAGAGCTAAAAGCCACTATTAGAGCAACCTGGGCTATCATAACACCTGAGCAGTGCCACAGACTGATCGACTCCATGCCACGCCGCATTGCTGCAGTAATACAGGCCAAAGGAGGCCCAACTAAATACTGAGTGCTGTACATGCTCATACTTTTCATGTTCATACTTTTCAGTTGGCCAACATTTCTATAAATCCTTTGTTTTTATTGGTCTTCAGTAATATTCTAATTTTCTGATATGATGAATTTGAGATTTTCATTTGTTGTCATTTGTAATCATCAAAATTAAACAAAATAAACATCTGAAATATATGAGTTTGTATGTAATGTATGAATATAATATACAAGTTTCACTTTTTAAATGGAATTACTGAAATCAATCTACTTTTTCATGATATTCTAATTTTATGACCAGCACCTGTATAATATTTTGCTGCATTTAAAATGTTACTTGACAATATTCCGTAAAAATTCAAAAAATATCCACTGGACTTGGTTTTCAAGATTTGAAGACGTTTCGCCACCTCTCCAGGAAGCTTTCTCAATTCAAATGTCTGGATCCGCAGTGAGTTTGAGTCTTATATAGACAACGCCTTGTATCGCTTGGAAACATGCAATAGAAACCGATGAATGGGTCGTTAGTTCCATCGTTAGCCTGTAATATCTGAAACTGTCTATGATTCTAGGGGTCGGTGGTTAAAGGGGGGATTGTCATTCTTTTGAGGACCAGAATGTCCATATTCTGGATAAAGAAAATAGGTGGTTTGAGAGGGGCGTGAAGGAAGCCATCTATGTTAAGAGAGAAAAACCAACTTTAAACAGAGGTGGTGGACTGAGATTCCAGCTTCCAAAAACATACAATTCAATCATAGACATGATCCCTTCCAGATATCACCAAACCCCCCACCCCATCACAGAGGAACAAGGGACTTACCCGCTCCAGCCGGTGAACAATACCTCCTTAACGACCAACCCTTAACAATCATAGACAGTTTTCAGGTATTACAGGAGACAATCCCCCCCTTAATGACAATCCCCCCTTTAACGACCGACCCCTAGAATCATAGACAGTTTCAGATATTACGGGCTAACGATGGAACTAACGACCCATTCATCGGTTTCTATTGCATGTTTCCAAGCGATACAAGGCGCTGTCTATATAAGACTCAAACTCACTGCGGATCCAGACATTTGAATTGAGAAAGCTTCCTGGAGAGGTGGCGAAACGTCTTCAAATCTTGAAAACCAAGTCCAGTGGATATTTTTTGAATTTTTACGGAATGACTATGACCTGGATGACTGAGAACCTTCATCAGCACACTTGACAATATTGTTTTGCCATAATTTCTGAAAACGTTGTGTTGTACTACAACTACTCCATACTAGAGGCTTTTGGTCAGAGAAGCAAAATAAATGGATGTGTTGATGGTGGTCCACAGACTTGAGCAAGAATAGATGTTTTCCTAAAAAAAATACATCTGAAAAGTATTTCATCCTTCCTTATAAGTCAATGTCAAATTCATTTGTAAAGGCAAGCTAGGCAAAGAAATATAGAAAAAATCTATATAAAAAAAATGTTTTTTTTTTCAGGCAGTGCTTCCATGAATCAAAAAGATTTTCCACAATTTCTTTGCAGCTACAGCAAAGTTCTGGTTCTTTATATTTCAATCTGAATCTTGTAATATTTAAGAGAAAGTGGCTTGCTGAATGATGTGCAAATGTTAAGAAGATCTGTTAAAGATTATTATTACCAAACCACTTACAACTGCAAAAAGTATTGCATACAAATTCAGTAATCAGTCCAGAAACAGATTGGAATTGGGAAAAGAAGGGACAGGATAGGAGTAATGTGATCATGCTTTTTGGTGCCAGTTCAAAGTTGATCTTCAACATAATGGACCCTTTATTTGCAATGTTGAGATGAGTGATCCAGACCAATTTCATTATGTCAAGATATTGTTATGAGCTTAGAATGCAAGACCCAATATTCAAGGCGAGATAGACACAGGTAATTGACCACGATAATCTGATGGAAGATGATCATCCATGTGAGTCACTTATCTGGTTCAATAGTTCAGTCCATTCTGTCGGAGGCAAGGCAGGATCCAGCCGATGGCCAAACGAGGTGCAGCGAGAGCCACCCAGACTGTATCAGATGCTGCAGCCCCAATGAACTGGCAGGAGTCTGAGCCAGGTCAAGGAAACAGTTAAGAACAGGACGGTTCTGAGCTCCAGGGGCCCGTTGCCTGGTCAGGGTCTCCGATCAGAACCGGAGCAGGCAGATCCGAGGTTCCATGAGTCCAGAGAAAGTTCAGTCAGGTTCAAGATTCCAAGACTCCAACAGAGAGTTCAGGCAGAAACTTTCGGATTCTGACAGGCAGGCACAATCTTTGTGTACAGAACCCTGTACAGAACCATGTTTACATTTTATCACTGCGGCACTTTAGAAATGCCTTGAGAGCTGTACTAAACGAAATTTCATTTTGTATACTCTGTGTGTAAAAAATGACTATAAAGTCTAAGTCAGTAGTTGAGAGGCAGGAGAAGACACGACATCAGGAAAACCACAGAACTTTAAACTGGCTCCCTCCACTGAGCTAAAACAGGAACAGGGCACGCTCAGTGGGCAAGAGCCAGGACTATGGGACTTTAAACTAGCTCCCTCTGTCGAGCCAAAACAGGAACTGGGCACACTCAGTGGTTAGGCACCAGGACTATGGAACTTTAAACTAGCTCCCTTCACTGAGCCAAAACAGGAACAGGGCACGCTCAGTGGATAAGAGACATGATCAGGAACTACTAAGACAAGTCAAAAAACCACTGGCCTCTGAGAACGAGAATATGAACTCTGAAAATCAGTCATGATCTCCAACTGAAACTGAAACTCAAACAAATAAACAATCAATGATCTAGTCCCGATAGCTGGGCTGAGCCGTATATAGAGCAGCACGAACAGGTGGATAAGATCAATGATAATTAGTAACTGGGGAGGGTTAGGGAGGTGAGTGAAATTAACAACTAGGTCAGCTGTCAAGGATAAATAATTTTCACTCTGCAAATATTTACTGATCCACCAGCTTTTAGTTTTAAAAAATAACTTAAAATTGTAAAAGTTTAAGTGTGACAAAGGCAAAAGCAATTGGCTTGACAGTTTCACTTAGTTGTATTGAACAACTTTGACAGAATAACTCTGATAGATCACATACAAAATTTTACATTCTACATGTTTTTTGTCTTCCAGTTAAAACATTACATAATGTTTTTTAACACAGTGGAACCTCTGAATGCAAACTGAATCTGAACAATTTGTAGCTTGAAAATTTCCTGTTTTGTTAGGGTTGGGCAATATGGACTTAAAATCGTATCACAATATTTTGTGGTACTGTCATTATAATGTTAAAAATTAGGATAAAAGAACGACTCTTCAGTACTTCTTTGTAGTCTGTTTTTTGAGTTACTGTATGGCTGTGACTCCATGCCAATACCTTCATAGTCCAACAATTGCAAATGCTGCTTTTGGAAAACATATCAATTCTAGGCTTCTCCAGGACACTGGTTACATAAAGAAATATGACTTTTACAGTATCCACATTTAATAATATCTTTTGAATTCACATGTCTCTCAGTAAAAATAAAAAAGCAGAAAAAGGTAAAATAAAATAAAAATCAGACAATTCACCCATTTCTTAAGCATAATTAATTATAATCTGTCATTTAGAGAATACATTATAATTCCCAACATGGCCAGAAATACCGACATCACTATAACGATAAACCATATGATGAATCCTCACCCATAATGTTTTTCCAATTACAAAATTTTAAATTAACAGAACGTCCTACATCTGTCTGCTTGTTTATCCAACAAAATTGATAAACACACAGATTTATTCAAATGAATAGCATAAGAGGAAAGGATAAGCATGAGAGGAGGCTTATTCAGATTCTAGAAAAATATGTATTGAGATTTGTTGGTATTTAGAGATTTAATTGTATACTGGTTAAATGTTGGTAATGTGGTTCATATTTATTTTTTTGTTTTTCTCAGGTATGTGCACATCTCAAGGATTTAGCCCAGAGTCCTCATCCGATTCTGGCAATGAGACCAACTCTTCTGAGATGACTGAAATATCTGAACTAGCCGCTACTCATAGACTTAATGAGAGCCACATGCGTTTGCTTGTAGCCACAACAGAAGGATACCAACCTTTACTTGAAGAGAAAACTGAATTTCCAGTCTCACCTAATTCATGCGCCAATGTAGAAAAGAAACCCCGCAGCCCGACACGACACCTTCAGCCTCCAGCAGTTCCTCCAAGACGTAGCCCCCAGCTGGACCTTACATCATCGGGGCTGGACAGATTGGAGGTGAAATCCCAAAATACTCTCTCGGTTACTCTCCAGCATCCCAGTTCAACAACACCAGGAGGTAAACACCAGAAAAAATCAGCACACTCCAGTGGAAAGTACAACACCTTCAGTACCAGGGAAGGTTTTCGAAGTGAGATTAATAGCAGGCGCAGCTATCTTGATTTAAACCAACGCACTTCATTTATTGAGCAAGAAGAAGGTCAGAGGGGACAGAATTCCTTTTTCACCTCTTCCTCTGTAACCGAGGGCACTGTAGCAACAAGCCCGGCTCGAGACCCTCGAAATAATCTTCGCCCATCTTCGGCTGTTTCTGATCGGTTCTTAGAGGTTGTTAACATGGGCGGTTGTGATGCAGGCAACGGAGCTACGACTGCTGAGCAGGATGAACACTTGGTTGTAGCATCCTTACTGTCACCGAGCAAGCAATCCAGATCAGGAGGTTCTGAACAAGGATCGGATACACAAAGTGACCATCAGCCAATTTCAAGACAACAGAGTGTTGCACGGTTGTGTGAGTACCACCTGGCAAAAAGGATTTCAAATTTGCAAGGAGAAGCTCACAGTTCACTTCAGGGCTCCTTGTGCTCATCACTTGATGCAGGTGGCAGCACAAATAGCAGTGCCTGTGCAACACCAAATGACTCCCCCCTTGGCCCCGGTGCAATTGAGTCCAAGCACAATCGCTTGCAAAAGCACCATCTTTCGAGCTCTTCCTCTTCCCTGCTTAGAGTGCTAAACAACGAAGACAGCAATTCTGGAGTCCCAGTAGGATTCCAAAGCCAAAACACTCAAAGCAAAGACCCTCATCCTCATGCAGACCCCAACCTCCTTCGAAAAATGCTGCCCAACATCCATCCCCCATTTGCTGGGGGGGAAACAAGCCGACCTTCCTCAGCAACTCCTTCCAAACACAAGGAGATAACAGGAAATAAGAAGCATCCAAACGACATCCATGTTAAACAGCAACCTAGTTTTAAGGGCCTTAACCCAAAGGAAGGCAGTGAGGCCTACAGACAACTGATAAACTATCTCACAGTAAGTCAAATGCATCAGGGGGGTAAATTACATAGTGCGGGTATGGGAGGGGCAGTTAAAAAAGACAGCAGACGTTTTATTACAAGCAACCCTCAGTTAATTGAAATGGTTAAGGGTAGAGGTAGTACCACTGCTCGCTGTCCATGTATGCCTTCCTCTCTCTCATCCCCATTTCTCAGCCCTAATACTGCAACTTCTCATTCAGCAACAATGCAATTAGCAAATAAAGATGCAAGGTCCTACCTTTCAGCCACACTTCCTGCCAAACTGAAGAGAAGCCCTGATATGCATGTACAAAGACTGAATGATAGTTTGGACTTCAGGAGAGCTCCAACTGAAAGAAGGAGCTCCTTTTCTGGTCTGGAAAGTGAGCTGGGCAGGGAGGGTATTGATCCAGAACATTTTCTCTTTCAATGTAAAAAACAAGAGCATATGAACCGTAATAATCGCCCTCCACCTCGTTCAAGAAGCCAACCAAGTGGCACCACAGAAGACTGGTTCAAACCAGACTCGAGGTCAAAACATGCAGGTTTTTATTCTCCTCAAAAACCTAATGACTCTTTTTCTTGTTCAACTGCACCCAGTTTGAGTGGTCAACGTGCAGAGCTCAATGCTCTCTCACTAGGGCGTGGCGATTATCCATCAGCTTTCATTCGACAGACATCTAGTCGGACTAGAACAACCATATCATCTCCAACACCACAATCTCCACCTCCTCCTCCACCACCTCTGCCACCACCCCTTCCTTCATCTCTCCCAGTACAAGTGAACTCTAGCGCTAGCAACTCAGGATGTCCACAAGATTCACTTCATTCCATCCAGTTGCGGCAGAATCAGAACCATATTCAGTCTGTTGCTCCAACCCTGTCCCAGACGGAACCCTTAAGCAGTAGCATGCAACGAGGAAGAGATCTCAAGCGCAGCTCAAGCAATGTGACTGCTAGTTCTGGAAGTGTTGAGGCTTTATTTGATAAGCCCATACGAAGCCGCAGCCAGCAGCCCTTGTCAGCACCTATGTCTCAACAAAGTGAGAGCAAAGTCCAACGTAGACAAGCTAGAAAAAGGCTATCCAAGAGCTATTCACAAGGATCTGTATCCTCACATGCAACATGTTGGTCTACAGGCAGCGGGGTAGATAGTAGAAGGTCATCTGTTGCATTTCCATTACAAAAAGACTCTAAACATACAAAGGGCTCTCAAAAACTGGACACCAGTCCCTGGAGATGCAACGGCCCCTTCAGTTACTGTTTCTTTAAACGTAAGACTGAGGGAGAAGATGATGAAATTGAGTGGGACAGGCCTAGAAGAAGTCGTGTTGGGGGTAATTTTGACAATAATGGTGCTGTTGCATCAGCTATAACCCCCTATGGATCATCGATGGATGAGCAGCTATATGGAGAGGTGCTTGATAATATGAGCTTTAGTGACCGTTTGGCGAGAATCAATTCTCTCAAGGACCGCATGTACAGCTTTCCATGTGGCTTTAACGACGTCCGTCGAGATGCCAATGAGCTCATTGCACTGGTGAGATCCAGTGTAGGTCGTTGTGACCGTGGCATCCAGATGCCTATACAAGATGTTTCCCAGTACAAGCAGCTTCTTTCTGTTGAGTCAAAAGAGTTAGGCCGGGCTTGCCGGAAAATGGCACAAGCCCATAGTAGTCCTGATGAAATGCTGCTAGCTGTTACATGTAGCTTTCAGGTGCTATGCTGTCTGTGTGAAGCTTGTATGTGTCTAGTTAGGGGACTTGGAGCCTCGGCATCACAGCAGCAAAGAGAAGTTGTAGCAAAAGTTGATGAGGTTGTTATGAACTATATTTGTTTGCTCAAAGCAGCCGAAGCTGCAACTGTTGGGGCTCCAGGGGAGCACAGTGTTGATGCCCTGGTTCGCCACTCCAGTACCATGTCAGCTATTGCTAACGCACTCACCCGCTCCCTTAAAACGCTGCTAAGCAAGTAGAGGCTATTTCCAATGCTTTATAGTATGGCCTATGCAGTCAGTAGAAGTCTGTCTTTAGACATCTTACTGTTTTTGAGTTATCTGAAAGAGTCAGATGTTTTCCTGTTGTGTTTAAATGTTTTTTATGTCTAAAAATATATTTATTGCAGTTATACTTAAAGTTAAAATGACATATTATTAAAAATGCTTACAGAGAGTAAATACTTTTACTGCTGAAATTGTTGTAATGTAAATTTCAAAGCCATACTGTTAGAAACCTTTGTACTAAATGTACCTAGTAGATACTATACCCTTTTACTTGTGCATTATGTAACTTATTCAAAATGTATATAATGTATAATGATACTATATAATTGTATAATTTGAAGGAGCACTTTTTTGAAGAGCAGGAAGGCATTGAGAACTCTGCTTGAAATAATTTATTTTGCAAGATTGATGGAAAGTCACTTTACGTTGAGTCATGTAAAGTTTTAATAGAAATATATATAACTATAAGAAAAGCAATTTCAGCTGTAAGCAAAATGTATACTTGTCAGACAACTAGAAAAAGATATAGCATTGAATTGGTTCACCTTTTCTTGTTTGAATAGACAAAAATAATGTACTCAGTAAAAACCTAAATTATTCTCAGAGCATTGCTTAACGTTTTCATATTTTGTATTGTCTGATTAGAATATGTGGAATTTCATTCAAAGCTGAATATTTAAAACTATAAAATTTAAATATTTGCAAATTTGTAGCAATATTTTTGACTGATCTTTAAACAAAGGTTATTTATTTTCATTTTTTAAATCAATATGTTGTTTTAGATGGGGGTCTTCTTAAATTATGTGTTACTGCATATGATGAATTTAGATATTTTTTTTGGTAAACAAGATGTTATTTTAACTTTTTTTGTTGTTTTTGCAATAATCCACCCTATTAAAAGACATTTTACAAGTGTACACATTTTTGTCTATTGTCTTTAAATCTGATGTAATATTTTGCAAACTTCTATGTTGTTGCCTTTTTTTATATAACTTTTTTTATTTTTCTGTATTCTGATTTAAAATATTTTTCTTGTCACTGTTGTAAAGGACAGACATAAAAGCTAAGACTTTGGTAAGTGAAATTCAACCAGATACCGTGTTGTTTGGATATTTTTCTCCGTTAGAGCAACACTGCATAACTTTTGACCTAAGTATCAGCCAAATTTAATATATATCAAATTATTTTTCAGGTCCTTATTAAGCACTTTGCGCATATCAATGCTGAGTGCTGTACTTATACTTCAGACACTAATCCGACCCTCTCTTAATGGGTCATGTAACCTTGAGCACCACTTTACGGAAGTCTAATATCCCATTAAACATGAGTGCTACCTAAGCTACAAGTTTTTTTAGGAAACAAAACAAATATTACACTTGAATGATCAAATATATGTTTGGCTCTCTGGTATAACACTTTTTTTTTTTATAGTGGGATGAATGTGCCCTTATCTCTTCAAGGAACTCAAAGACTTGTCAATCTAGTGGTCTAAAGTTGTGTGCTATCAAATTTTTTGAAGTCTTTATTTTGAACATCAATATACAAATAAAGACAAGGGAATAGTATTAGTCCACATAATTGTTTGCTCTCCAATTCCAAAGGATGGAGAAAGCTTGTTTAATTGTGAGACAGTGCTTTCAGATTTGCTACACCTGGAAGGTACAGGTTTTGTGCCCCTAGTGGCTAAAAGTACATACTGTTGCTTTAATAAAGAAATAGTTTTGAAAAAAAAAAAAAAAAACACTTTATTTGCTCAAGATATTTAATCGAGTTTATTCTAACAGCAGACCATAAAATGCTGTAAAAAGCCTCCAAAACCATAGGGTCTTCCCTATGCTCATATAAAAGGGCAAATCTGTAGAACCAGAAAGAAAAATGCTAAAATGTAAACTGATTAGGGATCATATTTTTGTTGAACAAATTAAATTAAAAGTACAACGACCTGAGCTCTTATAAAAGGCATAAAAGGGGGAAAATAATTGGAAAAATAATAGTATATAAGAAAAAGTAGAAATCAAAATCCTCAGGGGTTAAAGACAGAAACTTTTCGGACATCTTGTTCAATTTTATTGCTCTATTATTTTAGATCTTTCTTAATAACCCCAAAAAATAGCAAATTTTTGAGAGCAGGAGAAGGACATTTTACCAAATTTTTTATGTACGATTTTCCAGTAAAAATTTGACCATCATTTCCATAATATTATGTATGTGGAATGATCCGATCTGTATATCCTAATTAGAAAAAAAAAACTACATTAATGAATTTGAAAGACAAGAATTTGTGAAGTAATATTCATAAATGTTTAACTTCTTTACATTTATAAAACAAATTTATAGGTGTTTCCAGATGTGTCTTACAGTACGACGGAGTATTAGGGCCATACATGAAGAGAAAAAATATTTTTGCCATGACGAGATTAAACTCGACATGTCGACTTTAAAGTCGACATGTCGACATTAAACTCAACATTTCGAGAATAAAGTTAAAATGTCATGTTGAGTTTAATCTCGCCCTGTCGACTTTAAACTCGCCATTTCGAGAATAAAGTTGAAATGTCATGTTGAGTTTAATCTCGACGTGTCAACAATAAAGTTTAAATTAGTTCAAGAGAGCCAACCGCTGCACAGGATACATGCACAGAATCCTATACAGTTGCAGCACGTCAAAGACTACCTTCACTCTTAAAACGCAGACTGCAGCTGTGGAACGCGGTTGCTCTTTTCTCCAAACTTTGGAATGTCGAGATTTAAGTCGCCACGATATATCAACTTTATTCTCGAAATGGCGAGTTTAAAGTCGACACGTCGAGATTAAACTCAACATGACATTTCAACTTTATTCTCAAAATGTTGAGTTTAATCTCGTCATGGCAAAAATATTTTTTCTCTTCATGTGTGGCCCTAATACTCCGTCGTACTTACAGAGACTGCCATTAACAACATCAAGTTTCAATGTTTCCTTGATGAAATCCTTTGAGGGATATCAGTTATTCACTACTTTAAAATGTAATTCATTGTATTTAGAAAGACTTGGATATGTTATATATTAAGTCTTAACTTTAGATAATGTTTTATCAAGATTTTGAAAGATAGGAGTTCTTTTTGCTCTATCTGGGTTCATAATATTTATTAAATATTAATTTAAACATTCAATTTTTAGCAAAAATGGTGAAGCCATAATTAGGCTTGAAATATGATGATGAAAGATGAATTACTTATTGGAGAGTTGTGGAAGAAGGAATTTTCCGCTCACTTCACTTTTATAAAACCTAACAGCCATCAAATTGGATTATGCTCTTGAGGAAAAATGCTGATAATTAAATAGATTTTACCCAATTCTGATATGCGTCTGAGATGCAGTGTAGTGAAACGGACAAGATTTTCATCTCACTACTGTGAGAGAGGAAAGGGTTAAACTCTCAGACTCATTTAGCCAGATTTTTAAAAATATTTAATTTACCCTAATTATCTTCTTTTTTTTTTATTGCTTATTCGTTGGAAATATTTTTTTTTTCTACCTTAATATTAATAGAATACTATGGAAGAGGATTAGGGCCATTGAAGAATAAAAAAAAGTAAACTTATTTTTAATTATTATTTCAGTCTAATATGGGAAAAAGTCAGAATTCTGGCTTTAATATCAGAATTCAGATTTTTTTCCTGAGAATTCTGAGTTTAATCTCAGAATTCTGAGTTTAATCTCAACTCACATCTTTGTTAGTGAAGCTGATTGCTCCCACATCTCTTCCTTCATGGTGTCAAGCTACATTAAGATCTAAAATTCTGAGAAAAAGTCAGTTTTCTGATATTAAGGTCAGAATTGGAAGAAAAAAGTCAGATTTATTTTATTATTTTTTTTTTTTATTCTGACTTTTTTCTAAGAATTCTGAGAAAAAAGTCATAATTCTTACTTAAATCTCAACTCACATCTTTGTTAGTGAAGCTGAGTGCTCCCACATCTCTTCCTTGATGGTGCCAAACTACATTAAGATCAAAAATTCTGTTATCAAAGTCAGATACTGAGGTAAAACGTCAGAATTCTGAGATTAAAGTCAGAATTTTAAATCTTTTTTTCCCCCCACATTAATATTAATAGAACATTATGGAAGAGGATTAGAGCACACTGAAGAAAGTTAACTCATTTTAAAATATTTCAGTTTAATATGGGAAAAGTCAGAATTCTGATTTTAATCTCAAGTCACATCTTTATTAGTGAAACTGACTGCTCCCACATCTCTTCCTACCATGGTGCCAAACTATATTAAGATCTAAAATTCTGTTATCAAAGTCAGAATTCTAAGGAAAAAAGTAAGAATTCTGAAAAGAAAGTCAGAATTCTGAGATTAAAGTCAGAATTCTGACTTTTTTTCCTCACATTATACTGAAATGAAATTTAAAAATCAGTTAACTTTTTTTTCTAAGTGGCCTTAATCCTCTTCAGTAGAATACAGTAATGTCATGTAAGATATTCATTTGTAAATACGCCTTTACACGTTCAAAATGTTTGTCCTGTTCCCATGTATCATGGTTCCTGCGTGTTTTACGTGATGTACTTTTCCAGCAGCAGTAAAGTACGTGCGTGGGCATGGCGTACAAGCCGAGCCTATTTTGCATATTCATCCCCTCAACCAATCAGATGGCAGCATGCTGACCTAAGCCCCGCCCGCGCGGCAACTCGTCTCTCGATCGAGCGCCTCCTCCTGAAAGCATTGTCCCTAGCATACAGAAGTTGTACACACTTCTAGGCATAGCTTTAAAAGTTTTAAATATAGGTTTTTTTGTTGTTCGCGAAAGGCTTAGCTTATATCAGGTAGGTTTATAACACCCTTTAAAGAGCTGGTCAGTGTCTGTGTTTGTCGCGCGCCAGCTGCTAAGGTGGAGGAGTGTTTAGTTCTGCACCCCCGCGGGGTTTAAAGTTCTGGCTACATGATTAGCAAGAAGCTAGCTCCACATCTTTACTGATAAACGTTTGGCAGCGATGGCGGCGCTTTGTCAGCAACGACGTGCCTTGGTGGAAATACCTGCACCCCAACCCAAAATAGCAGGTAAGCCTGACTCTGATGCAGTAAAATGATTTATTCGGGGTTTAATGCTACAAACTTATTGGGAGCTTTGCTATCATGCTAATGTTAACAGGATGCGCGCGCCAACGAGCGCCTTTTACTGATTGTGAAATAAGTTAAACAGTTGCTATATTTACGTTTTACCTTAATATTTACTAATAATTTTTCCACAAAAAAATAGTTTTTTTCTAAAGAAAATGATACACAGACATTTTCATAAGTATATTTTATTTTTTCACTTTTTGCAGCTCGAATGAGAAGGTCTTATTTCGAGATTCTCGGTGCTCGTTTGGCCCCTGCTGCACTTCCAAGAGGCAGGAACCCAAGCACAAAGCGAGCACACTCTTGTAAGTAAGAAAAAATAAAATGATTGTCCCACAGTGGGGAAAATTGTGTGTGGCCTGAAAAAAGAGTAGGTATTTAAAAGAAAGGGTATACAAGTTTGAAAATGTTGACAATAAAAACAGCACATGGTTATTAAGAAGTAAGGATTCAGATTAAAGGGTTTGAATGGTGCAAATAATTTTTGATCAGATTGAGAACCTGTATTTTATCCGAATTAAACACCAATGACAGTTTATAGAGCTAATGTGTTGGAGGTTTTGTTATGACACAAGCAGGAATTAAGACTAAAGCTGAATTAACTAAAGCTGAAAACTTTCACACAACTTCTCTGTTGTGTATTTTTGCAAGCCTTGTTTACAGATAAGTGTTTAGAATTGATTAAACACTTTGGGTATCTTTATGTAATGTTGTCATCATTTCAAATATAATTTTCATATAGTATAACAGTGGAATCCATTTATAGTGGTCAAGTTGGTCCATATATTTATCCCTGGTTCCCTGGATCAGAGTGTTTTACCAACACGTAGTTCACTTCTTTTTCAAAACGATGTAAAAGGTCAAAGTTTTTGAAACAAACATGCACCAGACCATTCTTTAAAATGCAAACTGCATTCCTCATCTCAGCTCTTGAAGGGACAACAGTCTCCTCTTCTTCATCCTCATCCT